CTCGAGCATGGGATACGTGCTATTCGATGACATCACTCTGCATAACCCAGCGGTAGGCTTATATACGTTATCGTTCGAATCAACGGGTTTGCAGGACATCACTATGGACATCTCGATTACGCCTGGATACTCTGCGATTCTAGACACTTGCCGCTCGAACGCAAACTTGGTAAGAAACGTTTCCTCGGGCTTATGCGTGGAAGAAGCGAATTACACTTCCGCCGCGCTAGTAACCCTTCGCGACTTCACTGTCGACGTTCTTGACGCCGGGAGAGTCTTCGTTGGTTCCAACTGGAATAATGAGAGGCGAGATGTGCACGTCCACGTGACGAAATTCGAAGGCGTGGACGGAAGTGTAGTGCGATATTCCTCGGATCTTTCCCTGCCGAATCCAATCAACGTGACGAAAGTAGTCAGGGACGGTAAGGCGAGCCCTTCCGTCACGCTTTCTCATCCGAAAGCGGGTACATACTCGCTGTTGCTCACGTCGTTCTGCCCATTCAAATATTGCGGGAATGCGATTTACCCAACCATGGAGGAAGACACGCTGCAAGTCAAAATAATCCCTGGGACGCCGTACGATTTGCGCTTCCACGTTGCGCCTCCGGCGGTCAACGAAAACGACTTCCGTGTTAATCCCATGCCCGTTATTCACGTGTTCGACGTCGCGGATAATATTTGTACGGAAACCGTATCGACGATGACCGCTTCACTGTCCCCAAGTGCGGAATCGATGTACGGTTATGCTGTGGCTTTGGTCGACGGAGCTGCGAACTTCACGTCATTGAGATTTGTCAGCGAGCGAGGGAAGCCGTATCGCCTGGTTTTCGAGCTAAGCGACTTCAACTTGAGGCTGGAGCATTCTCCGTTCACGCTTCGCGCGTGCGAGGAAGTCAAACCGAACAGTTTCTCGGACAGCAACGGATTATGCCACTGCTTGCCGGGATTCACCGAAGACCTGCACACGTTCGACAATGTCGCCGGTTCTGGATCTGTAGAACTTCTCGAAAACCACAACATTGCGAACTTTTCTCTGTACACACCCGTCGTGTATAAAGAGGGGAATTGGGTCGAAGCCTTGAATCCTTACGGCATCTGTGCCCCGTGCGCGAACGGGTATTACAAACCGGAAACGGGATCGCAAGCGTGCACAAAGTGTCCTGAAAATTTTGACACAAACCGCACAAATGGCGTGTTGAGTCCGCCCTACAAGTCAACCTCTGGTTTGGTCTTACCCGGTCATCTAGGGAGAATCAGCAAAGAGCAGTGTCACTGCGTCGCAGAGGGTGTGGGTTGGAGCTATTACCGGGACGTCTCTGGAGGCGAAGCGTACAAGTGCACGAAATGTCCCGAGGGCGGGAACTGCACTGGCGTCGGAGTCGAAGGCAGCGGACCTTTGCTGGGGTACTGGCGCGCAAGTCTCGAGACGACGAAGTATACGGCGTGTCCAAATCCAATAGCTTGCTTAGGCGGCGTCGATAGCACATGCATGGGCGATCCCGCGAACAACACTGGGTACAGCGGCACGCTGTGTGCGATTTGTCTCCCCGACTTTGCGCACCCGACCGTGAACGGACGTTTCCCTCCGACGTGCGTCGGGTGCGGTGACCCTGGCATAAACGTAGCGCTCTTCTTCTTTCAGTGGTTCGCGATCGTCTTCGTGATCCTCGGCCTGGCGAAGCTGAACGCGCGTCGCGGGTCAGAAGCCGTCTGCTTGTTCAAAGCGTTCTGGACGTACATGCAGACGGTGTATCTCGCGAAGGAGCTCGACATGAACTGGCCGAACGT